TGGGCCTCACATCTTTGTAAGGGCTTGTTTTGGTTCTAATGAACATTCTGTCTTCTTGACACACCAGAGTTCCAGAATCACAGCCTTGTTATTGAAACATTCAGTTAGAGCCTCAATAGACGCTGTATGAGTGTGTATATATCTATCTGTATATATCTATACATTACCGCTTCCACTCCCAGCTCTTACCCGGCTATGTCTTTTTTAATGTCATTGTCATGCCAGTGCACTTTTGCAGTGCTGCAAAATCAGTTAGACTGCTGACATCCTCCTGCATGGATAGCATTCTCGACATTAAGTTGCTTGTGGCAAAAAGCTTTTGTGAGGATGGTGACACTCAGCCTTTTTGATTTATTTGTTTCTAGGGTGAGTGGGGTACATTTGTTAATGAGAGTTCTAGGAATCTAAACCATTCCTGGACAGGTAAGATGTGTTCTTTCGGTGGCACAGTGCATGCTGAATACTTACACCTGTAAAATGCGGGTGTTAGTCTGCTGGCTCAGCTATTCCTGCCATGGTGCCCAGGCTGGTGAAGCTGTTGAACTCTGGGACTAAGTGGTTCAGTGAGAGCAAATCTGACCTCTGTTTATAATCCAGCACTTGTTTGGGAGACTTTTCCTCTGGCCCTCCTGCCTCTGCAAGCACACTCGTGTAAGTCTTGCTCCAGGAAATAATCCAGTTAAATATTGTGCATTTCCCTGGTCTAAGGAATGAGTTCTGAATTCTTTTGGCCCATGGAGAGGATGTAGTGTTCTTTGGGAATAGAGATGCATATTTCCAGCTTGCAAAGAGGCTGTGACAGGTAGAGTGTAAATGCTGAGGGTAAACCAAGAGAATAATACTGCAGCCATGCAGCCACACTGTTAAAGAACACAGAGACCTGCACCAGGCTTCATTTTTTTTTGTAATTTTCTATGTCAAACTTGCTGTCATATGGAAGAGGAGCTCCATAACTAATATATTTCTAAGGGAAGATACCTCCTGTTCACAGAGGACTACATGGCGCAGGAGGAGCTCACTTGGGAGGGTGAATGGTGATGTAGGGCAGCAGGAAGGCCAGGAGCTCTCTAGGACCTTGCAGCAGACTGCATCAGCTGGCTGAGGATCTGTGTGAAGGGGCAGTCTTGAGCCTTTTATAGAGCAAGCATTATTGAAGGGTGATGTGGTACAGCTACCTTATTGCTGTCTATAGCTACCTGAAAGGAGAGTGTAGAGAGGTGGATGTGTGTCTTTTCTCCCAGGTAACTAGTGATAGAACAAGAGGAAATGGCCTCAAGTTGCACCAAGGGAGGTACAGATTGGATGTCAGGAAACATTTCTTCACTGAAAGGGTTCTCAGGCACTGGAACGGGCGGCCTGGGGAGGTGGCTGAGTCACCATCCCTGGAGGTGTTTAAAAGACGGGTAGATGAGGTGCTCAGAGATGTGGTGTAGTAGTGGATAGGTACAGTTGGACTCGGTGATCTCAAAGGTCTCTTCCAACCAGACAGTTCTATGATTCTGTGTATATTTGTGTTTGTGTGCACATGTTTATATATACATGTATATATATAAAATATATTTTTCAGTGTTCATTTCAGTCCAGTTCGTGTCCCAAATAATAAATTTAAACATGAGAAGTGTGAGGAAACGGTTCCTGTCTTAGGGTGGACATCTTACAGTAAGAGCATTAGGGAAAAAAAAAAGAGGCAGTTTTAGCAACAGTAACATAAAGAAAATAGGAAAAAGCAACTTGGAATGTCCAAAATACTTTAGAGGATGCTTTTGCTTCAGAATTGTTGTGGTTTAACCCCAGCTGGAAACTAAGAACCACACAGCTGCTTGCTTGCTCCCCCCTGTTGGGATGGGGGAGAGAATCACAAGAGTAAAAGTGAGAAAACTTGTGACTTGAGATAAAGACAGATTAATAGGTAAAGCAAAAGCCGTGTGCACAAGCAAAGCAAAACAAAGGAATTAATTCACTACTTCCCATCTGCAAGCAGGTGTTCAGCCATCTCCAGGAAAACAGGGCTCCACCACGTGTAACTCTTACTTGGGAAGACAAATGCCATCACAGTATGGCGTGCTGGGCATGACATCATACGATGTGGAATATCCCTTTGGTCAGTTGGGGTCAGCTGTCCCAGCTGTGTCACCTCCCAACTTCCTGTGCACCCCCAGCCTGCTCGCTGGTGGGCTGGTGTGTCAGCACTGCTCAGCAATAACATGAACATCTCTGCATCATCAGCGCTGTTTCCAGCACAAATCTGGAATATATATAGCTAGCCCTATGCTAGCTACTATGAAGAAAATTAACTCTATCCCAAACAAAACCAGCACAAGAATATAAACTTTTACAGACAAGCTGTCAATTTGCAGCTTTTAATTTTATTTTAATAAATAATTGTAAGCTACTTGCAAACCTACAGCTGACTGCTGTAACATAAAAGTTTGCAGAAGATGCATTGTAAAGTGACTGGCCTGCAGATTTTCAAATCTAGATTGTGATTTTTAGCCGCTGAGGTTAAATTTGTGAAGGGATGGATGTTGTGAGAAATCATGTACCTTGTACTGTTAGATGCTGTACTTGGGAGGTGAGGAGATGCTCATATTGCAGTTGGGCAGTTGCAAAGAGAATGTATTGCTTGCAGAGATGCTGGTTTATCTTATTTATTTTTTTTACTGTTGTAGGTCTGTATTGTGGAGCTTCTCTAGCAGGTAGTGGAAGCAATTTTGTTTGATCTGCAGCAGGACCTCTTTTACTCTCTTCCATAAATGCAGAACGTAACTGCTGTCTGTGTCTGCCCTGTCCAAGTCAGTGTGTCTGCCCGGCCCTGCTGGACAGGGCCAGGCTTGGTAAGAACTGCAGGAATAAAACTTCATGCCAGTACGTTTTTGAGGTGTTGCTGATCATTCTTTTGACATCTGGTTCCAGTATTTGGGGCTCATTTAATGAGCCTGAGACAACTGTCCTGTTGCCTGCAATCCATTGATATCTAGAACTGCTGGCCAACTCATTCACTGTTTTTGCACTCCTGCTTAGTCCCCACATGCTTTGGTCTGTCTCTTTTGAATCAGAGGGCTAGTTTTCCCTCATTTCAGAATGTCAGTGGACTTCCTGTGATTTGTCTGATGCCCGTGCTCTGCAAGTGAGATAAAAAATGCTTTGAGAAATGGATGGTATAGGAGGTTACGGGGTGGAAGAGGAGTCCGTGAGGATCTGATGCCAAACTCTAAGGTTTGCTGAGAACAATCCTGGCTAAAAGAACCTCAGTGAGGTTTTGCTCTGGATGATGAAGTTTTTGTGTGATACCCATGTCTTTGCCTGATTTTGTGACTCTTCTCTTTACAAAGACACTCATGGGGGACGTTCAGTGAAGTGTCACAGTATGCTAGCTAGGATCATTGTGGTAAAGTTTTGTGGTGATAATTCCATCCTGAAACAAAGGGGCAGAAGTCGAGGAGGATAATAGTGATGTATTTTCTACACTGCAGGGTCTGTTTGGTGTGCCAGAACTGAGCTGTCCAGAAGGATTTCAGGAAGCACAGGACAAAGCATTGCAAGAATCAGAACAGCTAGTCCAGAAGGCATGTTCAGTACCACCTGGGCCAGAGACCGTAATGATCTTTGATCAGCTTTCAGATAGCTTGTGCAGAGTCGCAGACTTGGTAAGTTGCTTTTTTATTATTCCTTGAAGCAGTTTCTTTTAAACTGACTGACTTAATGAGCTTACACTGTGATGTTCAATTTTATGATTTTCTACATTGCAGTAAATAGCAGATCGACTTTGTGAAATTTTGTGTTAAGGCAGAACAAAGGCTTTTACCAAATGATAGGTAACTACAAATCCTGTCAAACTGTCCAGTTAATTCTAAGACAGATGTAAAAATAGTATAAAGGCCACAACAAGAAAAATAACAGTGAAATCAGAATTTTATTTCTGCTGTAATATTAATACATAAGCTTTTCAGCATCCTCTGATGCTGGAAAACAGAGGATTACCCTCAACGTTAAAGCTGATGTTGCAATGCATTTGTTTTTAAGTTGTGAAAGTTTGTAGGTGAAGGTCCATAAAGAACTTAGAGATTAAAAATAGCAGATAAAACTAAACATTATTGCTTTTATTAACACAAGAAAAAAATGCAATGCAGTATTTCCTAGATTGCAGTTTCTGTGGTCCATGGAATTAGAGAACTTGATCTGATAGTTTGTATCACAGAATGTTCAGTTTAATAGAGCACTTTGTATTGCTCTATGGAAACTGTTTGCCCGAAGTACATTGTTTGAAGGAAGCAGACCCAACCTTTATACTGAAATCAGTTCTTAATAAATAGATCACTGAATTTTTTTACTTTGGTTTTCACATCTGAATTTCTCTGTGTTTTCAGTTCTCAAATCTTGTTTCTTATTCTTTTCTAGATTCAAGATATCTTTTGTGTGAGGCACTTTTTCCTTCTGAAAGTACTTACATGCTCTGTCAAGTCACTAGTTCTCCTTTTGTCTCTTATATAGATTATGCCCACTTCCTCTTAATCAATCAATATCTAACTAAAACACTAATGTCAGAATTCAGTGGTCATAGTTTTGTATCAGTTTGCTGTTAAAATTACCTCCTATGTGCTACTTGCAAAGCTTTGTCTGGAAGCAATTTGGTGATTGTTATCTGTTGGCAGGAATTTTGAGATCTGGCATTCAGCACCTATTCTGTCAATATTATACAGGATTTTAAACAAGGTTTCTAAGAAGGAAAAATCTTAACTGTATAGCATTTGTAAGGTTGGCTTTTCAATCAGACTGCAGTCACAATGTTAAAAAATGCAAGTTTGTTTCATATAATTTCTGTAAAATCATGCTGAATGTTTTCAATATGTTTGCAATCTTTAATTAAAATTATTCCTAATCTTTAACTCTTTATCATTTCAATGCCAGAACCTCCCTGAATTCGTGTCATGGAAATACCTCATTCCCCAGCCCCCTTTTAGCACCCTTCTAGCCTTCTGAACTCCTTTAACTATTTGAAGACTTACTAAAAGTCAGTAAGTCAAATAAAACCCCTGTTCTGAATCCAAAAGAACTTCTGGGTTTTCTCTTTAGACATGTTTCTTCCTCCTAGGTAATGATGTCAAAGCATAACTGGATGTTCTAGACACAAAAGTAAAAAGGGTTTGAAAACAAACCCTCTGCGCATATTTGGTGGTGTTCTTTCTTCCTAACTCTGAATTTTAGTTTTAAAAATCTTTTGTAATAATACTTAAATACATTGGAGTATCTCTATGTTGTAAGAACTCTAAGATACACACCATACTGAAAATATTTTTAAGACGTTTATAGATGAAATACAGTTTTTGGAAAGACACATTTATTGTATGGTTTAATAGTATTCAGCACAATTTTCCAATAAGCTTTATTTTTTTTAGAAAAAAAATGCTGATTCTGCAAATAGATTGCACAGAACTGTAGACATAAATGTATTAAGTGGAACTGCTTGAGTGCAACTTTGTTTGTAATTCAAGATTTTTCTATTTGTCTTTTTGCCTCACTGTTTTCTTCTACTATGTCAGGCTGATTTTGTGAAAATTGCCCATCCTGACTTTGCATTCAGAGAGGCTGCTGAAGAAGCTTGCAGGAGCATTGGTACCGTGGTAGAGAAGTATGTGTTCTTCTCTTTTTCTTTTTTTTTTTTTTTTTTGTTCTTTTAATTGTCATTTCCATATGCATCTTTAAAAATTACTGTATGATCATCCATGGAAACAGCAATCAACAGAAAAATATGCAGGAAGGATTTGCACGTGAGAACAAAGTGTCAGTCTTGCTGTTACAGATATTTAAAGATTTAGCTTCGATACAGTGAAGAGGTTATTCTATGTTAGTTTCAATTTATGTTCTGAACAGTTTTTAAGTTATGAACTGACTCCATGTCACTGAAACCTATCAAAGACTCAAACCTACATTTTTCTAGGCCTTGTGACAGTTCACTAGCTGTTATGAAGCATATGCACAAAACGGTATTTTGTTTTTAAGATTTAAGCTGTTACATTTCACAAGGCTTTTTTTTCTGGTTTGTTGACTTCTTGAATTCTAGCCAGTGAGTGGGGTATGTGAAAGAAGAAAGGACAATCTCCCGTTAAAATGAGAGAGGATGTGTCTGGGTAGGGCTGTAATATACGCCTGGTCTACCCTGGCATGCTTGTGCTTTATTTAAAACCCCATTTTGTAGAACATGTTCTCAGAGACTTCTGTTTCTGAAGTTTGGCTCTTCTTTGAGTCTTTTTTTTTTTTTTTTTTAATATCTTAAAACCAAAATCCTGAAAGTTACCTCTGTCTCTTTTGACTACAGTGAATTGATTTGCTTCTCTTCTGCTCTGGCTGCTGAGAAGGTGGAAAGGGGTGATCTTTAGTCTCCAAATACAGTTTCCTTTCAGTATCTTCTCCTCCTGTGGCATTCAGGACTGGCCTTCTTAAGTGAAAGCTTTACCAAGCAGTACTGTGAAGGTGACCCAGTCTGCTGCTTCCCTCAGGATTCCTAGTGAGTGGAGGCAGTGAGTGGTTGACCTGGTGTCCCACAGTAAGTTGCAGAGGCAGTGAAGCCTTTTGTACTCTGAGGAGGACAGCAGCGCATCAGTTTGATTTGTAAGCCTTGTGACTAATGTGGCTGACTAAAAAGAGAATTCTAAGATTAAATTCAGCAGAAGCTTGCTTTGCTCTTGCCAGTGTGTTTGGAAAACCTTTCACTTTAAACTGCATTTTTCAGGACTTAGATTGAGCACACCATCTATAACAATATGACTTTAATACCTAAATACCACTTCCGATTTAAAATTCGTAGAAAGAAGAAGGTATTCACAAATTAACCTGAGAGGTTCATAAACTATTGTAAATGATCAAAAATAGCTACTGTTGAATATTTGTTTTCATGGGCAAATGGTATCCCTTAGGAACTAGTAACAATGCATATGCTGTTAGCCACTTTTTGACAGAGTGCTGGGCTTTTTGTTTAGCACCTGCTGTACAGAGCCTTTTCAAGTACAGGCATGTTGCAACGTCTTCTTCTCTCTCTGGATTGGGTATTGGTAATTACTAAATTCATTTTACAAATGGGGCTGCAGAGACTTCCTGCACCTCATCTGATTTAAGAAGTTAGTGCTCAGACTGCCAGACTGGGGGCTGCTGCCCACTGCAGCTATGCTGGTGTGTATGCGTCGATGTTTCTTTCTCCACTGTGATTCCCACCCAGTAATCCAGGCTGACAGACATGCTTGTAGTTAACATGCCAAGAGATCTGATAGACGTGGTATTGTCTGGTACAGAGACAGTGATGAGTGTCTGTAAGCGTTCTGGGGATAGCAAGCTCTTAGTCTACTTCAGTGGCAACCAGCAGCACATTTATGGGATGGCAAACTTGAGCACAGATTTTCCTTTAATGGAGTCCTTTCAAAATAATAATTAGAAAACGGTTCTCCCACATTTATACTCTCACCATAATTATCTTTGTGCATAAAAAATAAGCTGTCAGTCTTAGACTTGCTCATATTTGCCGCAAAATGCCATCCATAAGTATTTTCTTATTGGATGCACAAGACCTGTTTCCATTCCAGTTTGTCCACGCATCCTTTGTATATAAATTTTGTAGTTTTTAAGTGTGGTTGTGAACCAGAAAGCATTTTTGAAAATACAGTCCTTGGATTTTAATGTTGTTTCAGTAAATGTTAAGCTCTGCCTTTGAATGAGTAATACCAAGAGACTGAACTAATAGTGTTTGTTGCTAATGTGTGATTCTTTTACTCTCTGTCTTTCCAGACTGAATACAGATGTTGAACTGTGTCAGAGTTTGAGACGTCTGCTAGCTGATGAAATTGCTATGAGTTCCCTAGATCCAGAAACCAGGTACTTATTAATGCTTATATATTTAGATTTTTAGATAGCGTATATCATTCCTTATTGTGCTTAATTTTGTGTTTTGTTACATTAATTAATACAACTGGAAAACATACCACATCTCTGTTACTAATTTATTACTCACTACTAAGTTACCTGCACAGGAGTTAGGACGTTTGTAGTTGTGTAGTCTTGGAGGAGGTCTCTGTGACTGTATAGCACAAGATATATTTAAGCTGAATAACTGAGACCTGCAAAAATTAAAAAAAAAAAAGAGAACTTAAGGTTTTCTTCAATAACACTGTATTGTTTAAAATGAGGTGCTGTGCTGTGGTGTATATATCAGTGGTTTTAGCAATAAAAGTAGGGAACTAATCAAGTTGATTTCAGTTTATGTATCAGTGGTTTTAGCAATAAAAGTAGGGAACGGACTAAATAACTTGATTTCAGTTTATAGAAACTTATTTTATATCTTTCAAAATCAGATTATCAGTGTATTTATTTAAAGCTTGTTGTATGATTACTGTAAAATGTCTTATTAGCTGCTTATTAAGTTATAGTTTTGAATTTTTTTTTCCAGCTTTATGTTTGAATAAGTTACTTCTTTCTTCCCCCATAGTCAAGGATGTTAGATTTGAAGAGATCTTTTTCTGATCTGTTATAATAAATGTCAAATTAAAATGGTAATTTGCAAAAATTGGTTAAACATCTAGATTAATGTAGTGGAATTATTTTGAAGGATATTTTCCATGCAGATGGCTAGAATAACTACAAAGGAAAAAACCTATTTCACTGAGTAAACTTTTAAGTACCTAAATATAGGAAGTCTGTGTCCATAATAATAATCATCATATAACTGTGTTGTTATTCTCTGTAAAATACATGAAACCTAAATAACTACTAAGGGCAAAATCTGTTAAGAAATTATGCTTACTGTCAAATGCAGCTGTTTTAACGGGGATTTACTGTATTTTTAGGCGAGTGGCAGAACTTTTTATGTTTGATTTTGAGATCAGTGGCATTCATTTGGATGAAGAAAAGGTAATTTTTGGCTACAATATATGAACAGAAATTTATCTGACTACCAAAGACTGGATAATGAAACATGTGGGACATGAATCACATGATTCTGGGCTGGTTTGTCCTTCAAGATACCCATTGTCCTCTGTGGAATTTTGTCTACTCAGAAGTGATTAATTTTTTCTATTTTAAATCACTTCTGAAGTGTGGGGTTTTTTTAAATACTGTTTTAGATATTAATTGGCTGTTCTTCCCAGTTTTAAAATACTGTTCTTCCCAGTTTGGCCCTTATCATTCCTTTTTCTGTACTTAAGAGTTATAAGCAAGACCTGGGATCCTGCTTTCTTTGATTGGTATCTCCATCAGATATTTAAAATAGGTGCTTAGCTGTCTGAACAACCTGAGCAACATGGGGAAAAGCAGCACCCTGTGCACTGTGATAACGGTTTAATCGACTAGAGGGGATCAGGTGTGTGTCCAGGTGCTCCTTTGGTGCACACATAACCAGAAATTGTAAATCTTGTTCAAAATTGAATGTCTGGGCATAGTCTGATTACCTCTCTTGGAGCTTTTACATGCTTTTGCAGTAGTTAGAGATGTATTTCCCTAACTCATCAGCTTTCGCCATGTTTTGTGGTACGGATACTCTGTTGGATGTCTCTTCATAGCTCATGGCCCTCTCTAAAGTTAATACCTTGTTTATTTGAGTCATCCCCTCCAAAAAGATCTGTACAAAGGCTTTTTTACCAGATTTATGTGGTAAACTTACTCTGAAGATCACGGTTGTGATGGTATTTTGTGACTTGGTAAGTGCTTCTAAAATATATTTTTACAATTGCTTTGTACAAAGAACAACTCTGAAACTTGGACTCTGGGTTTTATTTCTGATTGGACTACTGATTCTACGGTGCTTCACCTCCTTTCAGTTACAATTTCACTTACCCCTTATTTTTGCATGTTTTCCTCTTCCTCCTCTGCCTATTCCACTTTTCTTCTATTGCTTGCTGCTCAGAGTTTCTTTTCAATTCTCATTTCAGACTTAAGAAATCCTTCACTGTTGTAAGTTGAAATTTACTTCTGCTACAAAGAATTTCTGCTTTTAAAAATAAAACTCAAAAGATGTGTTTAAAAGAGTAAAGGTGGAATGGGAGGACAGAGATCTGTGGGTTTTGTCATTCTTTGGACTTTACAAGTATGTCTCTATAACCTCAGCCTTTTCTTTTGAGCTAAGAACACACAGGCAATAGAAAACATACTCTACTAACATGAGCAAGTTCACTGAAGCAAATCTTACAGTAAGGTTGAATGTGGGTAATACTGTAGTGATGATGATAAAACCCTAAATCACAAACTTCTCAGGGAAGGGTCAAAATACCATGAATGCTTTATGCTCTCCAGAAAATAGTGCAATACAAACAGTAACAAGAGAACTGTCATTCTATGTCTGTTTCAGAATGCTGTAGGATTTATCCATCCCAGTGATGTTTCATTTTTTCTCCTCTGTGTTTTACATAGCAAACATATTAGGCATAGTTTTGTAAATGCTTTCTGAGAAGCTAGCAAAGCTTAGGTAAATTCTACATAAACTCTGCTGTATGTTTTCTTACTGCAGAAACATAGGCATTTTATTTCAAATTTCAATTCTATATGAAATTATACATCTGTATGAGTATCTAATCTTACTGACTTCAGCCCTATGTTAGGATTTTGCTGATGCTGTAGGTCTAATCTTAAATGTTTAAATCTTAAATTTTTTGCTTAATTTCTGGAAAAGTCCTTTAAGGTTTTAGAAACTTGGAGTTCTGCTTCTGTCTGAAGATGTTATTTATTTTGTACTTTATTTTTCTTACAGCGTAAAAAGGCAGTCAACCTCAACGTCAAAATATTGGATTTATGTAATGAATTTCTGACAGGAACTCACCTTCCCAACAAGATTGACAAACATGTTTTGCCAGAGCATATTCGGTATAATTTTACAGCGGAAGGCAATTACTTACAAGTTGCTGGTCTGCATGCTGACTGTCCCGATGATCTGGTGTGTATTCCCCAGATTTGCTTTGGCATAATAGCAAAAGTGCATATCAATTACTTACTTGTTATTGAGGCAAATGCATATAGTTTATTATTATAATGTTAACGACTAAGAAGGAAGAACTGTTTTGGAACGTAGTACACAATGGCAGCCTTGGCTGTAGCAGCTATGAAATAATGGAGGTGAAGAACCTGAAGATCCTGATTGAGGAAGAAGAGGGGCAGAATACAGAGCCTGGATTTTAGGCATGCAGACTTCAGCTCATTCAGTAAACTGGGAGGTGGGATGCTATGGGATGCAGCTCTGAAGGGTAAAGGAGCTCAAGAAAGGGAGAATTCCTGGCAATAGTACAGGCTTGGACTGCCTGGCTGGTCTGATCTGTGGCAAAGGCCCTGAGGGTTGGTGAGCATCAAGCTGGGCATGAGCCAGCAATGACCCTGGCAGCAAAGAAGGCCAACAGCATCCTGGACTGCATGAACATGGTCAGAGCCAGAGACTGAGGGAATTGATTATAACCCTTTACTCATCACTCTTTAGGAGTCACTTCGATAGAGGCAACCAAGGTGACCAGGATCTGGAGTGCTTCCACTGTGAGGAGAGCTTGAGGGATCTGGGATTGTTCACCCCATAGCAGAGGTGGCTTTGAGGGAACTCTGACAGCAGCCTGCCAATACCTACAAGGATATCGTGGAGCACCTAGAGCCAGGCTCTTCAGAAAGGTGCATGACAGTAGGACAAGTGGCAGCAGGCACAAGTTGAAGTGAGAAATGCCAATTGGAGAAGTTTTTCCTGGTGACAATACCCAAGCAGTGAAACAGAAGTCATGCTGTCTCTCCCATCTCTGCAGGGTTTCATGACCTGACTGGAAAAAACTGTGCAACTTGGTCTTACCTCGTAGCTCACCTTGCTTTGTGCAGGAGGTTGGATTAGAGACCTCCTGAAGTCCCATCCAACCTGAATTATCCACAATAATATTATTTTAATTACTGCTAATGTTGCTTTTGTAAAAATAATTCATTTAGAGTTTGTTTATAAATTGAAAATTAATTTAGACACTTTGAAATGTGACAGTGGTTCCTTAGTCTTTTACATCTGAGTCTAGGATCAGGAGTGTGTTATAACACTCAAATGTTCTGTTTTCATTTACTATATAGTTAAATAATCAAGATGTCTTTGAAATCTTGGTTGTCATGAAAAAGAAAAGCTTACTGTGGTAGAACCCAAGCTGTAATGTTTCTTTTCAGTAAGAAATTAAAAATTAATTAAATTATGGCACTGTTAAGATATATAAACTCTTGTCCCGAAAATAGTGTGATCTGTAGAATTGCTACTGAAGCTATGTGTAATATATCAATTAAAAAATGCAGGTCTCAGACAGATCTTTGGAGTGGCTCTTTGGTAATCATATAATTCAGGTTGGAAGAGACCTCTGGAGGTTGTCAGTTAGAGGCTGATCCTGTTCAGAGCAGGATCAAGTAGATCACATTTCTCAGTGACATGTCCAAGTCTGAACACTTTCAAAGGACAGAGATTCCATTACTTCTCTGGGCAGCCTGTTTGACCACCCTCACTTTTTCCCTCCCCCCCTGTATCAAATTGGAATTTTTCATCTTCCAGCTTGTGTCTATTACATCTCCTCCTCTTGCTGTGCACCTCCAAGAGCAGTCTGGCTGCATGTACTTTATGCCCTCCTGCTAAGTACATAAAGATTACCATCTCCTTTGAGCTTTTTCTTTTTTAGACTGGACAAAAACCCAACTCTTGCAGCCTCCATTCCATGTCATGTGCTCTGGCCCCCAAACATCTTGGTGGCCCTGTGCTGGACCCATTCCAGTATGTCAGTGTCTTTTTTTGTCCTGTGGAACCCAAATCTGGACGTTGTACCCCAAATGCAGTCTGGGCAGTACCAAGTAGAAGAAAGCAATCGCATCTGTGGACCAGATGGCTGTGCTTATTGTCATAGAGCTCAATATGCTGTTGGCCTTCGCTGCAAAGACACACTGCTGAACTGTCTACAAGGAAGGGGAATAATTTCACTTTATTTGCCTTTTTTTAAAATGAAAGCCTGGCGAAACAGAGCAGGTACAAAATGACTTATGAATTATTATAGCAATATTTTTTATAAACCCAGGACCTGCATTCTTGTTGAATATATTATCCAAGAGAGAAACTTATTTCAAATGAAGATAAGCATAAGTTGTTGCTGCATTTCTTAAGGCTATTCCATATGTAAAAAATAAACATTATCTTCAACTGGTTTATAAATTATAAAAAGCATTTTACCAAATTTTCTGAGGTTTGAGATTTTTTTATTTTTTTTTGAGTTATGAAAAAACCCGAAGAAACCAGAAATAGGAGAAAAGCTGATTGTCCATGGGCAGATGGGCAAACTAATAGCTTGCTATTTCAAAAGAAATAAGGCTTTTCTCTTCCTCTTTTTTCTTTCCCCTGACCCTGTCTCTGGTTCTTATCAGATCCTTCCATAAGGCAGCTTAACTGACGTGCAGAGAACAATTTGGCTTTCTTTTGGGTTTATTTTCAGAAGTTTTAGTGAGTTAAGACAGCCCACAGAGTGGTCTGAGAAGCACAGACGGAGGGAGGCAATGAGCAGAGAGGGGACTGTTGACAAGAGTAGAGAACAGGACCCTTTTTGGCAGTCTTGATCTGTTAGATTGTCTCATTACATTTCCTCATTCCATCTTTAATGGGTAAGAGCTCCTTAATTGTCAGGCAGTTGTAATTACTATTGTTAAAAGGCTTTAGGGCTTTTCCCAACAATATTGGTGACATACAGCTATAATGCCAGCTCTTCAATTGCATCATTTGTTTCCCTTAAAAATTGCACTGCAGTGATGTGACCTTTCAATTTTTTTTTGTATTAGGTGCGAGAAGCTGCTTACAAGATTTTTCTTTACCCAAATGCTGAGCAGTTGAGCCGTTTAGAAGAATTGCTTACCAGCCGAAACAATCTGGCGCAGCTGGTTGGGTATGACACCTTTGCCCACAGGGCTCTTCAGGGAACAATGGCCAAAGATCCAGGTATAAGGCATATGTGGAAGGACATGCTGAGAAATCAAATGCACTGTGTTAGGTGTGAGGTCAAAAGTAGTTAGTTCCTTTTGCTAAGTTTACTCATACTTCTTCCAGTGAAGTCTCTTATTGCAGTTACGTTTTGCTGTATGCACTACTCATACTTTCTATAAATGGCAATACTCACTGAGTAGGAACCAGTGTTTTTGCTCAGAATCAGTGCTCTCTCCTTAGCTTCTGAAGGTGCCATTATCCCAGCATGTATCAAAGTAAATGTACTAAATTCTCTTGAAGTGATGGCACAGTGGTCAATGGAGTAGTTTGTTGTTCTAAAAAGAACTTTGTTGTTCTAAGGGAGCTTGTTTTGTTTGGAATGTTTTGATGTAAACTTAATGTCTTGTAAGGGAAGAAATCACTTTCTTTTTTTTTTTTTTCTCCATTTTACTTCTAGAGACAGTAAGACAGTTTCTGGAGACACTTTCTGACCAGCTGTCTAAAAGGTATGTCTTTTTCCCTAAGTTATTTTTCTAACCATTCTCTTTATTTCTAGAACAGAGGGACTTGTGCACTAGTCAGTCAGTCAGCGTTGCTTATTATATACTCTGGTGAAACAAAAAGCAAGACTTTCTCAGAGTTTTGGAGGGAGCTATTGACTTAGAATAAATTCTGTCAATGATGAGAGAACGTCCAGGACTGAATGCACCAAGTGATGTGCCAGCAACAGCAAACAAGAAGACCAAGTTTAAGTGTTGAAGAACACTTATCCTGGTCTTCTCCCCATACACACAACTGCATATATTTTACGTCTGTAAGCAAATTCCTCTGTTTGTCCTTCTTTCCCCCCTTAGTTCTACACAGCACAAAACAAGTTTCATCACTGTGTATAAATGGGCTGTACTGTAAGAAAGAAAATGCTTTGGAGTTGTACAACCAGAGTAAGAGGGACTTGATTTGAAGGTACCTGAATGACAGAAGCAGAATGGAAAAGTTCTTTTACTGTAGTATATGGACCTGACTTATAGAGAACTGCCAGTCTCTGATGATGGACATTTTCTTAGGAGGGAGTAGAATTGTGTACTGTATTCCATTGCTCAAAATTATTTCATTGATGCTTTCATAATAAAAATATTTTTCAGAACTCAAAAAGATTTTGAAATGATGGCAAAAATGAAAATGAAGCTCAACCCCCAGAATTCAGTAAGTTAAGTTTTCATGTGTCGTTTTCTGTTTTGTTTCTTTTTAAAAATAATAATGTAAGAAAACCTTGTTTTGCAAGAAGAATTAGCTCTAGTTTAGTGTACAACACGTAGTATAAATAGAGAAACTTTCTGTTTTCTAGCTTCAAATGCTTCTTGACTGCTTAGCTGCTGTATTAAAACCAAGCATTCAGTGCAAGATAGATGTTGGTTCATACAAAGTGATACTGAGATAACTAAAACATAAAGTGGCGAAAGTGAATATAACTTTGTTTTTAACTAATTAATACAGTCATTTGAAAAATAAAGGCTATAATTTAGGTTAGATGCATGTCCAGTTTGCATACTGTATTGTATGTATCCTAATTCTGTACCTAACTAGGTTTATCTTTTTATTTGAATTGGGTGTATTTCTTGAAATCTGGTATGAAGTCCTGTTACATATTTGAATAAGAAGTACTGTCTTCAAGCAAATGTTAAAAAGGTTTCAAGTTGTGATATACAATGCTATTTCTGATGATGTTTTTAGCACTGAATGTTTCCTATTATGTTTTAAAGTTCTGTGACTTTTTGAAACTGCAGAAACATTCAAAGGAAACAAAACTTTGAGTTCACTTGTCCATTATTGCAATTATAAGCTGGAATTCTCTTTCAGAAGCTGATGCCGTGGGATCACCCTTACTACAGTGGCGTCCTTCGTGCTGAGAGGTAAGCTCCTTATGTTTGTGATTGTAATGTAAATGAGTGTCTTTATTTCATTCCTTGCAATAAGGATAAAGAAAGAACTCAGTGTAAACATGATTTCCTTCTTTGAAGATGTACTTCCATATGAAAAAATAAAAGAGTATCTGGTGGGGCAGTTGTTTGCAACATTTCTTAGTTACTGCTGGAATGCCTGTAGAAGTTTTTGGCTCCTCTGTTGTTTTATGAGGAAGTATTGTACCTCTTTGAAGATACAAGAGGATGAAAGAGTTTTCAGAACAGAGCTGCAGTAATGTTTAAAAATCATTGATCATTGAATACAATTGAACTCCTCTTCATATATGAACTGTATTGTACTTCTTACTGAACATGCACCTATCATCCTCTTCTACAGACCTGAAATAGCAACTTCTAGAGCACATCTTCACTGTTTATGGATAGAATTCTTTCTCATCTCCCCTGCAAAGACTGGGAAATAAATCCTCTACACAAATAATAGTGCACAAGACCTTTGTGCATAATGAGATGCCAGCTCTGAAAGACGTGAGCCCTGCATGTTGCCTTTACTAGATCAGCAGCGGTGACCTTTTAGGTTTGTGTTGGAAAAGATAATTTAAAGTTGGGCTTCTCTCACAAGAGGGGGACGAAAAATACTCCTTCACTGCAGATTTGTATGTTTTTGGTTTTTAAACAAACTTAGACTGGATATATCTGTTTAAAGTAGTAGTTTACTCTGGATCAGAAAGTTATGGTAGTATAGATATGGCATGGAAGGATTGCCCGCAGTTGACCTGGCTGTTCTGCTGCTTTCTCATACTTCCTTACTGAGGCAATAGTTTTATGAGCGGCGGCTCCATCGTTGGCCTTGTCTTAAGCTCCTGACTGCATGCTCAGATGGAACTGAGCTATCTATGTATGTGGAGCAACGTTCGTGTCCTGGATGCCCCTTGCCATGCAGGGGAGGGAGAGGGTTGCCCAGCTGCTGGGTCTGCTCCCAGTAGCCGATGCCGGAGCATCCAGTGCTCCACACTGTATGTGTGGATTGCTTGTTGTGGCACAGTCTGGGAGTGTCTGCTTTTGTGTCAAACTGGACAGGTAACAGAAACGCTTCTGTGAAAGTGGGAATGAAGCAGTGGTTGTACTGGAGGAGAGCAAAGGTCCATCTAGCGCCAAATCCCATCTCAGCAGTGGTCAGTAGCAGTCTGTGGAAGAGCACTGTCATACTCTTTCAAGATACTATCTTGTAGCTAACAGATGTCCTTTACCTTGCCTGTGTAGTGTCTTCAAAACAGCAAGAGTTACATTCGGATACATAGTGCTTAACATTACTGTCAAATGTTGATGAAATTTATTGTCTACGTATCCTATTTATTTTCTACATTACCTATAGTGTCTGCCTTCCCTGTTTTCAGAGCTAGTGTGTCCCATCAGGATTAGAGCGTTAGATGTAGAAGGCTCTCTCTTTGTTTCTTTCTCCTCCTGGAGGAGTGTCTTCTGATATTGTCTATTTGCCTTCTTAGATCATCTCATTAAGCTAACCATATTGTAATTTAGTTGCTGATGATCACAAATAGATTATTCTGCTGATTTGGGCATTTGGAAGAAAAATGCTTCCTTTCCTGATGGGACTTTGTAAAAGACCCAATAATAAAGTTACTTTACTTTAAGAATTGCCTGGTAGCTTTATGAAGGGAGAGCTGCAGGTAAAACAGACCAAGATATTGGCAATGTATTATTGCTATTTTTTATTTATTCAGGCACCAAGTCCGGCAAGTGGATCAGTGTGAAGAATCTTCTGAACCTATGTACTGTCTCCCTGATTACAATGTAGGATCGGGGCCCACACTACCTCTCCCTCTATGTTGGGCAGGAGTATTTTTTTCTGGCAGGTGTACAAGCATCTACAAGACAGAGAAAGAAAAGTAGTTTTCTTCTCCACTGTGTGCAGCAGTGCTTTGCTCAAACCAAGGGCTTAGGTGTTTCACTGTGCTGTTTTCTGTGAAGTGGTCTGTCTTTGGGAAAAGTTTTTGATCTGCCAGTGACTTAACAATACTTTACGTTCATTCTGCCCATATAGCAGGTATTTAAAAGGGTACTGAATACTGGGTCATCAACCCTGAAAAGTAAAACTCACTTCTTCACTGCACAGTATCAGTGGCTGTGCTTTATGACTGAAACTAGGCAGGAGTCAGAGAGTATTCATACAACAACCAGAGGACAGGAATATACCTTGTCATGTCTGTGCCCTAAACATGTTCCATTTGCCACTTACTACCTATGTAAATGTGAATCCACTGTCCTTTATCTTGTAGTTGTACTTACCTCTGTTTGACCACATCCCTTATTGAATGCCCCTTGGATGCTGTGGTGTGTCTAGTTTTGTTACTGGAAGATGAGAACCCTGTCTACCACAAAGCTTCATACTGGCAGGAGTTTGACTTTCGCTTATTTCTTGTTACTCTCTTTCCAACTGAGCCAACTACATTCTTGTAGTATTAAATTTTGTCTCTGAGGAAAAATGATATTGTTTTTCTTGCTTCATTTTATTTATTTATAAGAAAAACAAATTATTTTATACATATTTTTACTTATTGTATCCTATTTTATTTTGCATTTCTGTGTGATGGAATGACAAAATATGTTTTCAAACAAGGTGTATTTACCTGGCATGCATTTCTCCCATTCTTAGTATTCTTTGTTTAGTAGATTAATTATTTTGTTCTTTGAGGGTTTCTCTTTTTTGGAAGAAAGTAAGTCTTAGGTCTTTTACAGAAATGCCGTGGCCATTTTTGTAATAGTGCTTCGTGCAGAGCGTGGCTTACATTTTTGTCTGTTGTATTTTGGGACTCAGTGGTAGTTTGTATATTTGATTTCTGTATTGTTAGGAATTTCTTCTTTTTTCTACTTAGTAAAATGTTTTTGTTGAAAAGGAAGCAAATGTATGCTTCTGGGTATTTCTTTTGGACTACTGTTGTCAGTGTAGCTCCAGCTGATATACAGAACCATAGTTTCCTACATATTGTCAGGTGCATGAGATGCAGATCATCTTTACAAACCTAGGTATAAAGAAAGAGACTACAGGAGTTTAGTTCTTGATTAACTAACTTAGCAACATTCTAGGATGTTGTACATGCACCACTAAGGGGTGCAAGAAATACTAGTCAGGACAGTGTCTGTGTCTTGAAAAAGATTTACTGTTTCCTATTTTGGTCTGTACAACCATGTTTGCACACAGAAATGTGAGCAAACATGAGAGAATGTGATCCTGATGCGATCTTTTACTTCCTCTTTAGTTCTCCAGATTTTGACCAGCTACATGAATTTGTCTGAAATGACACTGAAACTCATTATATATTTTTAATGTGTCTTTTATATCTGTATGTTGTAATTTTAAATGTATTTTATATATTTTATATTCTAAATAGATGTTTATTCTATATTAAAACAGGATTAAGGAAACAAATCCTTCTTCAGATTCCTCAATCACATTTGCTGTCATACCAAGTTGCCCTTACTTTTGCCCTTTGCTTATACAGTTGTTACTGACCATTTCTGCTGTTTGTAAGCTGGACAGCAGGAGGAGCTCCAGACTTAATTCACAGAGTACGTTTTTCTTTCTGTAAACTTAGCCACAATAATTTTGTTTCTGTCAGCTTTCCCCAAGTCTTTCCCTGGAAACTTGATCCAACTTCAAAATTGTAAGTCTCCCATTGATGGTAACAGGATAGTTTACTTTTTTTTTTAATTATGTGAAGTAGTCTCTTCGGCTTTAAACCCACACTTATGACAGTGCAATGTTTTTGTAGCGATAGGTTAAGTGGCAGAGAAAATAGATGTCAGTATAAATGTATATTTAAGAGAAACTGGAGGCAAAAGTCTGAAATTCATGGTAGTGGTATCTTAAAAGAAGATAGAGTAATTAGGAGAACCTCAAGAATTTTGGCAGGCTAAGGGTAATAAAACAGTGAATGCTAGAACATGCTTAAGCCTCTAACAAGTAAGAAGATGTCTAATATGTATATTATAAAAATAATACCGTTGACTTTTAGTACAGGCAAGTACCATAGTATTAATTAAATCCCATTACTTCATAGTAAGTGCAGCTGCAGTTATAAATAATTCTCAAGGCCCCGATCTTGTAAAGATGTAGTAGCCTTGCTGACTTCTTCCGGGTCATAAAAAAACCCCAAACCACTGGAAGAGACCTTTGGAGGTCAACTATTTGCCTTGAAGGTGGGATTGACTGTGCTTAAGCCACTTCTGCTGGAGGCACAGAACTGTTCTTGAGAACAGTCAGTGGTGAGTGTAGTGTATTTGGTGTTGAGTCCTGTTTCCCGAACCTTTGGTGCTTACCAGGCTGGGCTGACTTTGCTGGCTGTAATTCACTGTTGGGATTTTTGGCAAAATGTCACAGATTTTATTCAGTTTGCAACCAGGATGTGCTTGCACGGTTTTTCACTCTGTGCTGGTTCGTCTCCTTGAGACTGCAGAAATAAATAAGTGTGGCCTTGAGGATGAGCAAATCAATGCCAAAATAAGCCAGTTTCCTGGTGTTTAGGAAAGAGAACCCACCACAGCAACTGCAGGCATTTTGGATCTTGGGGTGACCAGCTGAACAGAAATTAGGAATAATTTACCTCCTTTCTTGTTGGGACTGTACGTAGACTGCCAGCTCCAGGGGAGAGTGGGCAGCACTTTGGGGTTTTTTTCAGAGGGATAGATTTGATACTAAGGTACCTAAACATGATTGGATATTTCTCAAGTTGCTAAAAGCTGCAACTAATGTTGAGGTTTGCAAGTTACTTATAAACAAACTTGTTTATGACAGCTTTTTGTTAAAATATTTTTAGTTGAACAAAAGATTGTTCTCTGTTGGGAACATCATGTGGAAAAATAGCTCAGACCCTTTGTGGAATAATGTGAGAAAACTGCCACTCTCTTCAGTTTGAAAGCTGAAGTGGAAAAATAATGCAAAATTTAAAAAGGTCCAGGAAATCTTTCCACCA